ATATATATATATATATATATATAGCTTTCTAGGGATGTACAGATGAGTTTTTTTGACTCGTCAGCTTGAATTTCGTTATAAGGATGACACCTCGCTCTGATGATGTTCGTCATATGACAGACGAAAGCTTAGCACCTTTTCACCGGAATCCAAGGGGATTACCTCGGAAACAGCGTCAACACGAAAGTTCCAGTAAAGCCAATCGACAGCTTGACAAGAGGAATCCGCGGTCGTCTTCTGGCAGAATCGACTTCGAATCTTTTTACTCGAAATGGAAGTAAGCTCAGCAAGAAAATTATACTCATGAAGTGTGTATTCGTACGACTACTTATTTTCAATATAAGTAATGCCCATATCTGAGTAATGATAATGCATTCGATACTTAAAGGGGACCTAGTAACTATGGTAGGGCATTACTAGGACCCGGGGCATATTGTGAAAACTAAGCTTTGTTGGAAACAGAACACAGTGTTCTCATGACCTGGCCCCTAGCCTAAGGAACCCAACAAGGACAATCAAGTAAATTTGCGGTATACGCTTTATCTTTTTTTTCCGATCCGTTTCTTATTCATCGTTTTGTAGCCTACCACCACAAAATGTAAATTTATACATTATATTACTTCTGTGCTTTTGGGGTTATCCTTCACATTTTATAGCGTCCGCTCAAGTTAGGCTTATTTTAAACTAAACATTCATTTAGAGGTATTACTGAGCTTAGGAGAAATTTATGCGACCACTTTGGCCCATTAAAAACGGAGGTTTAATATGCGAAATTGGGGCCTTATTTCTAATTGCTGAAGAAGCGTGTAACATACAGAATATTATGGCGTGTTGAATCATAATATTTTCCATTCAGCCAGATAATTTTGCGTTTAAAGCTTGACAAATCATGTAAATATGCATCAAATACCTTTGGTAGCTACACAATGCCTCAGTTTCCGATTCACCTTCGCTTGGTGTACGAGCTTATACCCAAATTTCACCTTAACGTTTGGATTCCATTCAGCATTGGATAGCAACAGACTCCCTCATAAGAGGCGAACTTTAGGTTTCAACTAATATGATCAGTAATAATTTTGTCCGGAGCCGATCAAGAGGGACAGAGTAAACACGTTGCCATCCGACAGAGGCGCGAATGCTATTTCTAGGGCAAGATAACCAGTTCGTTTTGAGCATGCGCCATCCATAAGAATATTCTCAGAAAGTAAAGTTTGTGTTGTCTCCAACGCATAGATAACCTACTCAGTATTTTAAAAATAATCACGAATTGATATTTTGAAGCTAATAGCAGCAAAAATGGATATGTGATTAACTTCAAGTAAACCAATAATGTACCAGACTTGTACGTTCCGGATCAGGATGATCCTGCTGAATGTCATTAGTGGAATTCATGTTGGAATACCTTTCATTTCGTTTGAAGAGGCGAGTGGAAGGGCTTCGTAAGTTGGTTCCACTGGAAGCTGTAAGGGGGTTCAAAACCCAGTTTTTCTACATCAGTGGAATTATTTGTGTGTGATTATGTGTATGCGTTATCCTATCACTAATTTTATTGTTAACATACTTCTCAAATACTCACGTATAAAATATTTTGACTCATTTTAGAGATCCCTATGATGGTAAGTTCCTAATGCTTACTTCTTAACATTTTTTAATATCTCCTTTTAAATGCCTTAACTGTCGACTAACGTTGGTTGACTGTTTTCAACCTCCTTCCAAGTTTATCTAGGAACTGTGTGCGTCATCGAGGCAGTTGTCTAAATGTGTTTTTGTTTTTTTTTACTTCCTAGGCGGCTCCAGCTCATCGGTACTCTACTACCAGCCAAGGTGAGTAGTTAGCAAACCGTTTATTATTCATATATGAAGTGTTTCACTCTATTTCGTTAAAGGTGATAGGGGCAATGGTAGTTGAATTTTATCATTCCCCCATCCTCCTTCCTGTCGAGAATACGTTACAAAATTGCAGTGCATTTTTGTCAACAGAACACAGTCACGGCATTGCTCAAGTCTGAGCATCTGCCGGGAAAAAGGCTGACCATCAAGTGGAGGAGAACAATAACAAATTGGTCAGTATTGCTGATTGCCTCATAATCGAGTGGCGCTGTTTAATTGGTCTGGCTTCCTTGAGTGACAATGCGTTCATTTCAAGCATCTTCAGGGAGTCGAGCGCAGAAATGTATCTCAATGTTCCGGGTCTAACCGATGCAAGCCTCACCCCGCAAGAGTCTCATCACTCCCTCAGTCTGGTGTCGAAGTCACTGTTGGGCAAAACGACCGGCAGTCCCGAGGCCGTTGTGTCAGCCAATCGACTCGGACACTGGCGTTCGTCTGGTACAACTCGAAAGCGACTCATTGGCAGTGTCATCTGCATCCGCAGCAACACGATTGGTATTAAGCGCTGGTGTATCGCAGTAGCTCAATTATCCGACTTCATTTGACAATCAAGAAACTCTGCTCTCGAGGCGTCGCCCCGTCTGCGAGCTTAGACGAGGTTGTTGTTGGGCCTGCCTGAAAGTGGACTAAGGAGAGATTGAAAGAGCAAAATGGAAAAGATGCCATTCAAATTGTGGTTCTACAAGACAAAGCCTATTCGGCATTTCGACAAATTGTGAAGGGAAAATCCCCTTAGTGATTTGTTATGACATGAATTTCCATTTCGAAGAAAGCGTTGGTCGGAAGGAATGTATGAAATGGTCTCACCCGAAACCGAGAGAGGATTGCCTCGGAGTGAAAAATGTCGGATCGTGCGAAGAAGCCCTATGCTCGCCGTTTTGCGACTATGATGAACCTGTGCCCCATCGTGACAGACATCTTCAGAGCAAGAAGACAAACTTTACGAAAAACTCACCGAATACAATCGGTCAAGAAAATAAAGATTGTTCTGATCAGTCCCCCTCACCAAAATCTGCAATCGTAAGGAGGCATCGGATAATTTGGTTGGCTATTTCATTGCAAATATACATTTTTGTAGATGTAGGAGGTGGATGCAATAGAAAGAAGTAGATTTAGAGGCAACGGTTTCTTGCCTAAAACCTTAAACGTATGATCCTGCAACTTTTTATGCATGTGGTATCGCCAATTGTGTGTATATGAGTCCAATTCATGTGAAATGTGTGAACCTATTTAGGCCTCCTCTTATCCAGTGGTTCTTAATCTTCTCACTCTTCCTGTCTCCTCTTATCTTCATCCAACAGGCAAGAACTGTTTGTGGCTGTTGGCTAGACCTAAGAGGAGAAGGGAAGAAGGAGAAGAAGAAGAGCCGTTGAGCATAGACTGCCTACCCAAGCCCACGGGGTTTTCTGATGAGACGATGAGGTGGCTACTTGTGAGCGAACCAAAGATAGTGCAAGATAAAACATTTCCTTCAGTTGATCTCGGGCAGACTCGACAACCGCCAGGCCTTCTGATAGCTTATAAAAAGAGAAAATATTGTCATTGGTTGGACTTTCATTTCATATGAAACTGTATGAAGAAGAGATTCAAAGGTCAATCTCACCAGAAGAGGGCTATTGAATCCCGTTGTATTGCAGCCGTTTGGCTTTTATGTCACGCTAAGATTGACGTAATCCACGAGACCTCGTCCCTTGTTTCTGGTGAAAACGGTCTGCGCTATCATCCATCATTCGATGAACATCATCAGAGCTGGGAATCATTCTAGAAGAATTCTCAAGTTAACACTAAGACAAGGACCTCGTCGTATGAAAGCCAAACAGCTTTAGTACAACGGGATCCTACCGTCCTGTTCTGGTGAGATCGATCTCCGAATCTCTTCTTCATACACTCTCATACGAAATAAAAGTCCAAATGATACTGCTAGCTCAGGAGATTAATCGAAACCCAGTTACTATTCAGAAAATAATGTCCTAAAAACCCGATTCAGCCGAGTTGACATTAAAGATATTTACAGAATGCTATTTGACATTTCCGCAGCATAAAATGAGCAGGCCTCGTGATGCAAGATGCTCCCAAAAAGAGTAAGATCAATTGATGATAGTATCGAAACCAACTCGCATAGAATAGAAAACTTTGCTTCTACCCATCTTATTACTTGATCAACTCTTTGCTCCAATTACCAAAAACCGTTTATTTTCCTTTTCAGGGAGACTCCGAGCCCCATGAAAGGTAGCACGGACGCCTACTCGACGTTGCCCTACTTGAGTAAGTGTATGCCTCTATGGGCTTACTGGACCCAGTCGTCCTTGTTGCCTTGCCGGCCTAGTTACAAAGCATAGTTACCAGTGTTGGACCATGGGCTCGGTACATTCGCAGACGTTTCGCCGGCACCGCAATCTGCACGGTCAGAGGCAAGCCTCTTTGACGAGTTGTA